TTCAGTTGTCAGAGGGCCCCCAATCAACGCAACACATTCTCTGCCATTCGGGCTCCCGTCCCCGTCCCTGTTGAACAATCTTCCCCTGACTCATTCAAGGCTAATTGTTGACAAAGATTGCCCTGTTAGGCACTGTGGGTCCCTGAACGATGCAGGAGTCCGACCGATGTAAGTCGCGGGCCTGCCCTTGTCCCTGCTTGGAAAATGGGCCTCCATAGCTTAGGCCAACATGGAGCCGACTGTGTGTTGTTCATGCTCTTTGGATGAAATAGATGAACGCTCTGTCTCAGGGGTCCCTATCGGTGCAAGAGATTATCTTACTGATATTTGAGATCACGGCCCATTGGGTAGGGGTCCTTAATGTGACCTGCAGCTCTTCGGACCTTTCTGCCATTCCACCGGGCCCTTCACCTTTGGCCTCGAGAGACCCTTCGGCCCCTCTTCGGGTCCTTCAAACACCGCACCGTCTCGGGGCTACCTCCCGCCACATGACCCCCTTTCGGCACTGTGGCCCCTAACGGCCACAGGAGCCCCTCATTGTGCCAGGGACCCCGAACATTGCAAATCGCGGGCGCCGGCCTCGCTTCTTCTAAGGAAATGGGTCTCAGGAGCTCAGACAGACATGGAGACGACTGTTCGGTGTTCGTGGTCTCTGACCGACTTAGACACCCGCATTGTCTTAGGAGTTCCTAAACCGGTGCAAAAGGACCTCTGACTGATATTTCAGATCACGACCGTACAGACCGCGATTCCTTATGTGATCTACAGCCAGTCCTTCGGGTCCTTATGCCCTCCAACCGGGCCATCGGCAGTCGGTTCCGGTGGGACGCCCGGGCCCCTCTTCGGGCCTCATTAAACACCCCCTAGGCCGGTTCGGGACCCTTGCGAGCACGGAAGCTTCTGTTGGGTGCTGTGGGCGCCTGACAGATATAAGGCCCCTGATCACGTAAATCACCGGCCCCGGCCTTAGAGCTGATTGGGAAGTGGATTCTCAGGCCCATAGCGACACGAAGCTGATTATATGGTACGGTAGTATCTGACCGACATATAGGTTCATATCAACGCAGGGGGCCTCCGATCGGCACAAAGGGCCCCCTGACCGTCGTTTGAGTGCTCGTCTTTGCAGGTCTGGGCCCCTGAATAAGACTCCGACCAGTCCTTTATGCCTTCAGGCACCTCAATTGGGCCCTTGTTCATCGGACCGAATGGGCCCTCCACGTCTTCGGGCCTCCTCGAACACTGTCTCTAGCCGACTCAGGGCCCCTTGACAACACAGGGCCACTGTTAGACGCTGTGTGCCCCGAGCAATGTAGATAGCCGGCTCCGGCCTTATCCCTCTTGGAAAGTGTGCCTTTAGGCCCATGCCGTCACGGAGCAGAATGTGCGTTACCGGTGGTATCTGACCGAAACATAGGTCTTCATTGACTCGGTGGACCCGTGATTAGCGCACAAGGGCCTCTGACTGGCACTGCAGTACCTGGTCCTGCGGGCCGGGACTCCTGAATGAGACCTCCGTCTTGCTTTTCGGACCCTTTGAGCCCTTAAATTGTGCTCTTAATCGTAGGTTCCGGAAGGCCCAAAGGACCCCTCAAAATCTAAGGGAGAGCGGGAGGAGGGGGGCACGTGCCCCTGTGCCCCCCCCCCCCCCCCCGCCTGCGCTATTGGGCGCATCTGATGTAAGTACTTTTTAGCACCTTAAGATATCAATCCATACATTTAGAAGGCAGTCTGGCTGTCTACTTCATCTGCGCCATTTTTACAATAATAAAAGGACCGTATCTACAGTTGCAGCACCTCAAGCTGGTGTTGGAATCTAATGGAGGGGCTGAATTATTCAATGTCGAATCTCTATTTCTCGTGCTGCTTTAGCTGTTGATATGTTCATAGGACGACCTCAAATTCATAAGCGTGAAATATGCGCCCTAGTTCAATGTTTGAAGTGTTCGAATTGATTTTGAGACGCTTTGGGAAACCTTATTTCACGACGGTCGGTCTCGCACGCCCGGCGCCCGCTGCCTAGTGTTATCTGCAGCGGCTAACGCCGTTCGGTTTTACGGAAACTGCAATGCCGCCCAAAGCTGCTCTTGCTCCTAAGATTGTGAGTGCGATGGCTTAAAACTTGTTTATGGAATGTATTTCACAAGCCAGTTTTGCAAAGGGATGGACGAACTCAGGGAAACATGGGTTGACCGTTTTCAATTTTGACCTCATTTCAATCCACTCTGTTGAAGACTAATGAGACCCCGCTGACGAGGCTGGACACCGGAGTCGTCATCGACGCAACAAAATCCCTATCACCGCGAGTGATCCAGTAATTGACACAGAGATCCAGTTCGCCCCTTGGCTGAAATGGGGTGGATGGCCCCCATTCAGTTCTCGGGGCCCTGACTACCGCAGTGCCCATCCATTGTCTCAATGTGAACCCTCATCATAAGTAAATAACTCTCATCACAAGTTTTCGATTAAGTTTTCAATCTGTTTCAGTTTTCAATCTCGCCTTTTTGTCAGAGGGCCCAGACCGACGGAAGGGGCCGTCTGGTGTTCGGGGTTCTGTCCCTGTCCCCGTTTAGTAAATGTTCCTTTGGCGGACTCGCAACTCCTTGCCGACGCGGGGACCCCTGGTCGGCACTGTGAGTCTCTGACCGACACAGGGGTCCCTTATTGCTGTAGGGGCCAGACAGATGCAGATTGCATGCCCCGGTTTTGTTCCTGCTTGGCAAATGGGCCCCCAGGGCTCAGACCTACAAGACCCGGTCTTACTCCTGCTTGGGAAATGGGCCCCCAAATCGGGATATGGGTGTCGGTGGTCGATTTCAATGTCTGGCCGAAATAGAGGTCCACCTGGCTCTAGGTTTCCTGAGTAGGTGAAAGAGGCCCCCAGACTGACATCTGAGATCGTGGTCCTACAGGCCGGGAATCTTGATGTGACCTATAGCCATGCCCTTAGCACCTTCAGGACCTTAAGCCTCTCAGTCGGACCCTTGATCGTCGGCCCCGATGGCCGCTTTTTTGAGCCTCCTCGAATAATGCCCGTGGCCAACTCTGGGCCCTTGCCAACACAGGGTTAGGCGCTGTAGGCCCCTGGCCGACACAGGAGACCCTTCATTGACTTAGGGGCTCTGACCAATGTAGATGCCGGACCACAGCCTTGTTCCTGCTTGGGAAATGGGCCTTCAGACCCAGACCGGCCCACTGTCTGGTACGAGTGGTGCCTGACCAACATAGAGGTATTTCTTGACTCAAGGGGGCCCCATCGGTGCAAAGTGCTTTCTGGCTGGCGTTAGAGGGCCCGATCTCCGCCCGGGCCCTCGAAGTCTTTGGGCCTTCAGATTGGGGCAGAAAAGTTGGTCCCGAGTGGTCCTTTGAATCCCTTGCGAAGTAAAGGGGGCACGTGCTCCCTGTAGCTCCCCCCCCCCCCCCGTCTACAGCGCTAATGCAGAACATTTCTAACAGACATTCGACGCCAAGAAAACATGCATTCAACGATGTGTGCGACCAAACGTAGAGGACCACCTCTAAAACGCATAATAGATAGAGCGCAGTCCAACATCGAGTTGCATCAGACTCATAACACGGATTGACTGTCAAAAACATGTTGAAAAACTGGCCATGGCTGTTACAGGCGTGTTTTGTAACTTATATGATCACCACTGAGCAGCCCGACCCCGGGTGAGTGTGGTGCGAAGCTATCGACCACTCAGATTGATTGCGTGCATTGATAAATCACCGTACTACGCAGCCACGCTGCTCTCGAGCTCGCGCTTGGACCGGCCTGGACTCACTGCATTTTGAAAGTGGCGATCAAATGACGCCTGACGACCGGGGCTAGTCACGCAGAGTACCACCTGGAGGGGTTCTGTCTGGGAGAAATTGGCCCATCTTCCCGGTATCTTTATTCAGTTAATTGAAGTTACATATCGTGAGTTTTCACCACAACGGCACATGACACAGCGGTACCACCTCATCAGCCCTAAAGCTCTAAGGGCCGAACAGCAGGTACCGCGCCGTAGAGTAGACGCACGCGCCTACACGGCCAATCAGCGCACAGTGTGTCGGGGGCGTGTCTAAAACCGCGCGAGAGCGCGCCAGAACGCGAGCCCATGCCGAACGAGAGGGCCACTGCGCCGAGAGATATCACAGGATGGAACCACGTGCGTTTGCGAGCAAACGTCTGCTCCACGGCAAGACTGAGGAGCAGACAGCCCTGCCACCCTATACCACCATTTCTGCGGATGTGGGAGTGTTCAAACCAGCCGCCTGAACTGCACGGGGGCGCTGGGACGCGTCTGGACGGTGGGTGCCAGGAACATGCGGCGCTCTGCACAAAACGCACAATGACGTGGAAGACTGGATATATCTGGCACGGCCCAATGGCTCGAACACAAGATCACACAAATCGACGAGGAAAGGGAGGCTGGGCACTTCTGTGAAAGACCGGCAGAATGACGATGACTCGGCAGTGCTCTGCGTGATGTTGCAGCACCAAATATGGAACATGAAAGCTCGCCAGCTTAGGATCACCTCAACGTGGATAGCGGGCCGTCTAAGACCATTTCTGCAGTTCGCCAGCTTTCTGGGATCTGCGGTCGTCGAATCGTTAGTACCAAAAACCGACCAACACGAACGTGATGACGTTGACACTTGACAGAAGTCGACAGCTTGGCAAATATTTGACTAGACAGCGCGCGTCGTGCTGTGTCTCGCACCGGACAACGTCCGTCGACCGCACCTTGCTCTCTAGACACGGCGGAGCCAATGGACAGGTACTCGGCTTTCTAGGCGACAGGCACGCAGCGTTCGCACGCAGTTGCCGCGCATCAGTGAAGCCAGTCTCGGCGTTTGTCCCCATCAGCTTCGATGAGGCCCTCACCAGCAGCAGCGGCGACAGCGCCTGTCCCTTGTGTGAGTGAACTTGAGGTGCTCAGGATACCACCGAACGTCCACCCGGCCCTCATCGCCACCCGTTTGTACTCTGCCCGCGCCAACGCAGCCAGCGGCCGCTACCCGCGGTTCTCAAACACGGTCAGCTTGTCGCGCACGGAGCCGCGCGAGATGGGTACTCGGTGTCGGGCCGGCGCCGGACCGCCGCCGTCCGGCCGCCGGTCGAACAGCCGCCGGCAGTCGGCCACCAGTCGGGCCGGCACGGGCGCTCGCTCGGCCCGCTCGAGCCGCTGGCGCGCCCACTCGACGCCCAGCAGTTCGAGCGCCCGCTGCCGGCAGCCGAGGCCCTGGCGCTGGGCACGACCGCCGCCGCTCCGCTCGAAGTACTCGACGATCTGGCGGATGTCCGTGTCGCCACCGCCGCGGTCGGGCCGGCCGCGCTCCTCGGCCTCGCAGCCCAGGCTGCTGATGTCGTCCGACGAGTCGGTGTACACGGAGGACGAGCGGTGTGCCAGCGGCGCCCGCCAGCGCGCCAGCTCTTCCTGGCTCTGCTCCGAGCGGCACGAGCCCGGCGACAGCTCGGCTGGCTCGGGCTCACCCACGCTGTAGAAGCCCGACTCGCAGGAGCCAAGGCGCCGCAGCGGGGCGGCCGCCGCGCCGGCCGGCCGCGCGCTGCGCCGCCGGCACTCCGGGCTGGTCGGCAGACTGAGGCAAGTGGCGCGCGCCGGCGTGCGAGCGAGCGGGGCCACTGGCACGCCGCCGCGCGGCGACGGCAACTCAAAGCACGAGCTGAACAGCTCCGTCTGGGATTCGACCAGCTTTCGGCCATCGCGGTACTGCTTGAGCGCGTTAAACGGGTTGGCGGTGTCGCCCGGCTTGTAGGCGGGGTCCCGAGCCGCCATGTACTCGGCCACGTCCCGCGGCGAGCGCAGCGCCGGCCGCGGCCGCGTCTCGCGGCAGTGCGAGTGGCGCCGGTGGACGCGCGCCTTGTCGCTCGGTGAGCACGCGTCGGCGAGCGCCAGCTGGTTATCGTCCGAGAGGGAACGGCGGTGGTCTGCAGCGGGGAGAGGGAGAACCGTCAGTGGTGGCGCCACCAGGGTTGTGACGCTGGTTGACATTTTCGTCAACAGATGGCACTTTCATCAAAGCAAGGCAAGGACGGTGAAACGTAACGGAACTGAGGTCAGCTTCAGCCTTTTCAGCCCGACTGAAGCGTTTTACAATCATCCCTTAAGCTGCTTACGTCAAAGCAAGATATTTTCACCGCAGCAACGCGATAAAAGGCTGTGGTGGAGAGCATCCCTACCAAAGAGCACTTTTCCTCAGAGCATCACAGGAGCACTAAAAGCATAAAGTTGTAGCGTAGAAAAGTAATTATGCTCAGCTTTTTAAAAATCGGTGGCGTTGCAGCACCCAAAACATGTTATGAAAATGACAAGCACTCACATATCATCTTGCTTAAAATAAGCACAAGAACACCAGAAGAGCGTCAGTCAGTTCAGCTAATTCGATCCCAACGCAATAGCCAACACCCAGCAAAACAGACCCCGTCAGCGTTAGAGCGCAGGCTCGCCCGAGCCAGTTGGACTCATTACCCACGGCCGGGCATCTGGGTCGGGAGGTGCGGCGGCACGTACGCTGGTGTCTCTCCTCGGCGTGCGCCAGCCGCGGCGTGGGGGAGACAGCCCGCCTCAGCTCCGCGCGCAGCCCGCTGAGCACCGCCTCCAGCCGGCGCACCAGCTCGCCAAACGACGGCCGGCTGGCTGCCTCATGCTGCGGCGGACAGCCGACCGTCAACGGTCGGGCGTGCGGTGCCAGTGAAGTACGCCTGTTAAGTCTGTGTTAAGTCGGTGCCAGTTAAGTACGCCTGGTCTGCTCAATTGTTGGCACGCCTGGTCTGTTGTAAGAGGTCTCACAGAAACATAGCACAACCCGGAACGCGCACGGAAAATCGTTGCCCTCAGTACACAAGCTTTCAGTGATGCCAAGCGCGTGACGGAGGCCACCGCACACTGTCAAAGTACACTGATTCGTGGCATGTTATCTATCTGCGCGGATAAAGCGGTGACAGTGTGGGTGTGGTTGCACGTGGGCCGTCAAGTATCGGTGGTGTTACATTCGGCCCGTCTCGGCGGGCGAACAGCAACCTTTACTGCAGCCACGATAAACGCCCCGCAGTTTCGCCAACTGACGCAAACACTCCAGGACCCATGGATCATCACTGATAAAATTCAGCGACTACATGAAAAACGCAAACGGCCGAGGCCGAGGCGTCAAGCAAAACGCACCGTTGCTTGTTTCTCAATGTGTCCGTGAGATCCACCACGGCCTGAACATCACAGCGAACGTTTCGGATAAAATGTTCCCGGCTATATCATAACGGAGCGGCCGCTCAACGATTCAACCAGATCATACAGACGAAACTACCGATCACGTTCACGCATTTCCGTCCGTGAGCCAGCACCTACGTCAGCTTCGCTATGCGGCACGAGACCAGCAGCTGGCTGCATCGACGCACGAACATTTCCATGGCCCGCTCTGTTATTAAGGAAACTCAGCTGCGACGTGAGACCATTCAGGAAAACTACCGCACGCGGCAGGAGGCTGCAGTGCGCTTACCTCCACACCCTCTTCCGTTACGGTCAAGTCCAGTAATAAGGCGAGATCCGCAGCAGCACCTGACGGCACCACTGACCCTTCGATGCAGCGAAGCCGGAGGTGCCGCGGCGTGCCGCTCGCTCCGCGGAGGTGCTCACCACACAGCAGCTGAAGGCGATCAGCAGCAGCTCCAGCTGGCAGTCGGCCGGGCAGAGCGACACGAACGCCAGGTAATCGATGCCGAAGGACGGCGTGCGCTGCAGCACGTCCGGGTCGGCCGAGACGCGTGCCATCATCTCCAGCAGGATGACGCCGAAGCTGAACACGTCCGCCCGCTGGTTGTACGGCCGGTTGGTGATGCACTCGGGTGCCATCCACCAGAAAGAGCCGACCGTGCTGAGAGGGCTGGGCAGTCTGCCGGTCGAGCGGCACAGCCGGTCAGGAGAGGGGCAGGGGGGGGGGGGGGGGCTCTGTGGCGGTCAACAGTGTCGTCGAGCATCCGTCTAGATTTCTCCTGGACTCCTGTGGGACCCGCCTGGTCTCAAGTCTTCTTGGACTCAGTAAATCCCGACTCCTATACATTAAGTCACTAATGAAGAGTACAGGACATATACTAATCGATCATGGGGAACAAGATCATGATGACTTTAGAAGGAGATTTAGCCGACCCTGCGCATAACTTATTCCCATGGAAAACGGCACGTGATGACGAATTCCTGGCATCTCCGCTTCCTTCCTTCAGAAAGTCGGCCAATCTGTTGATCTCCAGGTCTGATCCAGCTAACAAGTCGAGGAAACCTAAATAAAAGCAATTAAGTGTTTTTATTGAAGTCACGTAATGATGCGATGCGGTCGATCAGGGCAGTCTGGCGAACACCGAGGGCGGCCTCTGCCGTTGGCACGAGCTCTGCAGTGTCGGCGCTGTTGCCGTGTGGCGGGCCAGGCGGGAACGGCGGAGTTGGGCGAGCACCAAAAACGCCGGCGGCAGACGCCTAGTGTCGTAACTAAATGCGGGGCCAACATCTTGCACACAAAATCAAAACACGCCACGAGAAACGGTGTTTGCAAAGCTCGCGTCGATAGTTCTGGCTACAGACGTACGCACAGAGCAGCTGCGGCACCATGTACGTCCGTAATGTGCGTGTTCAAACCATTCTTAATAAGGTCCTGAAGAGAATTTTGAATTTCTAAGCAAGGGGGCGTAATGACCTAGTAGTCAGCACGTCGGACCTTCACGTGGGGGACCAGGTCCGAATCCCGGTTGCGCCATGGCCCCTGAGCGCCAGTGTCAACGCCATGGCCAGTGCAGGTACAGTCACCGGAGGTCCATAAAAAGGGGCGTGACGACGTGCGACGCGTTCTGTTTTCTAAAGAAAGCAGGAACTCGTCGGAAAATGCGGACGTGAAGCAGCTTACGGGTGTTTCATGCGGTTTCTAAACACCGGGTTTTCGTCACCTAGGCCGATGGAGCCCACCGGCACTCCCCGACACTGGCGGCATAACACAGACGATTGCTTGCTTCAGATGAACAGATGGGCACGCGAACGCATTCCAACCGATGAACATCAAAGTATTGTAACGGAAACTGCACATGTTGCGACTTTAAACGTGTCTAGAATATATGGCAATGTTGCTCGAAACAGACATCTTGGAATCACACCACGCGACTGCACAATCGCGTCTTATCTGTAAGTACATATCCATGATTGACTCCCGTTGCAGGCAACCAAAACATCGCAAACTGGACCTGTTCCTTTCTCATCAGACAATGCCCGGATCCCCAAAGTCTGGAAGATAGCACGAGAAAAACACCCTATGCTTTCCACAGCCCAGTGCTAAAGTGAAGTCGAGCACACAGTGGGGTCCTCCTGGCCGGATGATTGGACCATGCCGGCCTGATGCACCGAGAAGATGGGCGTGAGTTGAACAGTAAAACAGTTATAAAGTTGAGCAGTTTGAAAGTAGACGACCCGGATATGATAACACAACATGGCAAGGGGAACTTGGGGATTCAGGCACCGCTTCCTTGATCTAAATAACTCTCAAGAACATGGTATTTCTTTGGATCATTGAGTCAATCGCCGTTTAACGATCAGCCACTCGATTATCATAAACACGCACTCAAAGTAAGAAAGGGGTCTGGAGTTTCGCTTCCCTTCGTCGATAGCCACGTATTTCTTTGAGTATTTTTGGCGTGCCGATGAGCTCATCCGACCAACATTAGTCATTTGAGGACGGTGTGTGGTCGCTGTGCATGACCCGACTTAACCCAGCAGCTCGAGAAAACGTCTGCAACCCAGCCCACTTCCTGAGAGTGGTGGCTCTACTCAGTGCTGATTTCATTTGTGAGCGCGACCCGTCGCTCCAGACTGGCTCGAGCCTCCCCAGCATGCCCTTTCACTTCCCTCGTCCCCCCCCCCCCCCCCCCCCACCACACACATACAGCCGCCCGCCAACAGCTACCCAGAAACACCCGCTGTGCCAAAATATGCTGCCGGCGTCGGCACGGCGCGGTCCGCCTGGAGAGCCGGCCGGCTGGCGGCCTCACCGGGTGCGCTGGCGTCGGCGCCGCCACAGACTCCCACAATAGCCCGACCTATAACGCCTCGGCTCAGTGACGCCGATGGCAAACACAGCGTGCAAGGGGCGCTGGTTTCGGACTGTGACGACGTTTACAGATTTACAGCCGGACGGAGACGGGCGAAAAGATAAACCACCGAAAGCCAAGACAACGCTGTTCACATCGAGCCGCACGCAAATCTAACCGGGGTTAGATGGCAACGTCATCAAGCGCCATAGTGCTGTTGCTGTCAGCCTGACACACAGCACACAGGCTGTCAGCTGTCACAGCTGTCCGACGCTCTGATAGGCCTGGCCCTGCTCAGCTGGTGCAGTCATCAGGCATGGTCATGGCGGCGAATTCACAGAAATGCCGTATGGTTTACGGCGAGGTCGATTGTTGCTTTGAACAAGTGATTGAAATTTTAACTCATCAAGGTTCAAAGCACATTGTACTTCAACATCTTGTCATAGTGACTGAAGGTGGAGCGTGGTCTTCCATACACGTTTTCCGTGACGGCATTGGTGGCCGCACATCGCCATGTCCCCTTCGCTGACGTCAAACCATACCAAAACGACGGTCTGAACGTGACCCGCGAGGAGCGGCAGCAGGCGAGACCTCGCTGACGAGCCAGTCGGCGCTTTGTGCGTGCACCACTCGTTTGTAATGCTGGGCTGCCCCCCCCCCCCCCCTCCCCGGCAGCGTTGTGCTGGAACCCGTTAGGCCACGTTAAGATGTGAAGTCCTATGACTAAATATCGCAACAAGTCGGTCTCCCCGGAGATTCGGAGATACACGCAAGTTCATCACGGACAAAGCTCTCTGCCTATAACTAAACCGGAGGACAATGCAGGGCGCGGGACCGGTCAACTGCGGCGCTGCTGAGCAGCTGTGATCGTGGTCCGCCTGAGGGGACCGGCCCTCGGCCGGGCTCGACCAACACCGCACTCACAGCGGGTTGGGTATCTTGGCGGCCAAGCCGAAGTCGCCGACCACGCCCGACAGCGACCCATCGTCATTCCGCCGAATCAGCACGTTCTGAAACGCATGTGAGCGCTATCACCTACGTGGCTGCGGAAAGGTTGTAAATGAAAATGTGAAAGAATGTAATTTGATCCAAGGCTTCACATTTAACGGTGTCAATGCGCGTGAAGAGTACATGGATTTAGTCACTGAACTTTTCCAGGTCTTTTTTCGGAGGCGAGGAAGCGCCAAACACCACGCTGTGCCGCTCCCAGTTTCCTCAGTGCATCAGACGGTCCACTCTACTGAGGAGCGGCCATCCCGGCGAGCGGTGTTCAGTGCACGTGGCCGCCGATCAGTCCCACCTTGCTGGTGAGGTCGCGGTGGAACACCTGGCGCCGGTGCAGGTAGTGCAGCGCCCGCGCGATGTCCAGGCCGAGGCTGGCGCGCGTCTCCCAGCTGAGCGGCTCCTCCGACTGCACCAGCTGCTCCAGACTGCCGCCGTTGATGTACTGCCGGTCGGGGCGGACCGTCAGCGCAGTGGGACACCCCTGGCGGGTACCGCGCCGCCGCCGCCCGCCGGCGACGGAGTGCCAGCGCGCGCCATCGGTCACCGCAGCGGGACAATCCCTGGCGGGTACCGCGCCGCCGCCGCCCGCCGGCGACGGAGTGCCGGCGCGCGCCATCGGTCACCGCGGCGACGCGCGAAAACAATGGGCCGCCGACGCGTCGGGTCATCGGGCTCAGTGACCGACACAGGCAGGCTCAACGTCACACTGTCGACGGTCATACATGAAGGGTTTTTACCGCTGCTACCACTGACATTGGAGCACAGAAGTGTTGCCATTATTGGACATTTAGCAGATTGATATAGCTGTTTTTGGAAAGATTTTAGAAAAAAAACTGCATCCCTTTAAACGACGAAGAGCCCGGCTAGTCTCCGCTCAAGTGGGTTCGCGTGTTGATACGATTCACAATGATCCAACCGGCACATTCACAGAGAAACAGTCGAAACAGATAACCTGAAGACAATAGTTCCATTAATCAGCCAGAGGTTTCCCAACACGAAGACGGTGAGCGCGGAGTCACCAGAGCTGAGCTCTGCTTGGCCGTTCACGGCTGTCCGGTGCCCGCGCGCCCGCGCGCCCGTCGCCACTTATCGGCTCAGCCCCGAATGGTAACGTCAGAGGGGCGACCCGCTTGCGGTGCGGGTGAGGCAAGTCTGGGATTCGATGCCGGCGCTGGCGTCCCCTTCTTCACCACAGTACAGTCAGGGCTCAATAAAACACACCACACAACCGCATAATTCATAGGTCTTAGCAACAATCTCACAGGCGAACGTAACTATCTTATCACACAAAATAAGTCAACTAATTGGCACCATCATCACAGCATGCCGCCATAAATAAACACATTCTTCATAGCTCAAACACTTAAGCTGCGCTGCGACCAAATAGCAGCTGCCAAGAGTGCCCTCTTGCATCGGAGACCAGCCGACTGAGCTCTGCCAGGCAGACAGCCGGCCACAGTTGCTGACGAGTTGCGGGCACGTGGTCCGGTCCTGCCCGGACCCAGTGTCCAGTGTCAGCAGGGAGCAGCTGCGGACAGGTGGCGCGCTGCGATCCACGAGCGACCCCGCGAGTCTCGTGGCAGTGTGCCGCACAGCCACCTTGCTGGTGAACCAATGCACCAATGCGAATCGGACCCATGCATACGAGCCCGGTCGGATGGCGTAGACAGCCGTCGCATGACCCTTCCGGCATCCCTAATATGTACCGCGATCAGAGGCCACAGGCTTCAGTTATGGGCTAAACCTGCGGCGTGCTCAGGGGCGTTCCATGGACCTGTATGCACGAATGTATGCCTCACGCGATGGGCGTAAAATGCATGTAAATGATTTATCGGCAATTCTTTTTTGTCCCGATCATGAAGTCTTGCATACACAAAATGCGTAATCATACTACTGTGCTCGCAAATATATATTTAAACGAGCAAACACGCGAGGCTTCAAACTGAGGCTTCACAGAAGAGGCGATTCGGGCAGGAATAGGGGAGGAGCTGCAAATGCGTAAGCCCCCGGAGTTCTGGCACCATATAGCATAGCTCATGTTTCCGACATTGCCCGAGAAGGGTTGAATACCGCCCGTCGCGCGCCTTCCGCTTCAAGGGCGATCATGTGGCCTGTGTTCTGTGTGTTCTGGGTCACTAATGAGCGGGACCGACTGGCGCCCATCTGTTGGCCCTTGGCGCCCCAGAGCATGGCGTCTGCCCGCACGCTCAGCTGTGCCGGTCCACTCGCACGGCCACGGTCAGACGACACAGCCGGCGGGCGGTCACTGACTCTGGCGCGGGCGGTCACTGACCACGGCAGACGTGCGAAGGTCACCGTCTCGGTGCGGTAGCCAACGGGCTCTCACTTACCCTGGCCGGGCAGCTAAAAGACGCCCACATAACGTTAATAGCAATTACTGCTTCACTGCATGCATAACAAAATGGCTCACATCACTACGCGTGCCTATATACATATGAGACGTTCCTAGCATAACTCTTTTACAACTTCAGCCACACGGTGATTTTGTGTTGCTGATGAAGGCCTTGACAAAAAAGGACTTCTCGCGCATAGCCGCCAACTCTATCAAAACCTCAGCGCATTCTCTGGCGGAAGGAAATTGTCCCTGTTTTCCCCATCTCTTCCCCATTCTGATGACAGCCACAGGTGCCGACGGACGACGGACTCCTGACCTCCGCCCCCCCCCCCCCCCCCGGCTCCACGCTTTGACACGCGCCGGGGTGGCCGGCTAGATACCTTTCGCTCGGATGGGGGGGGGGGGCAATTTGACCCCCCTAAGAACTCAGGAACTAAGAAAGCTCGAGACACCAAACTTACGGAGTGTCTTGACCTGTACGTGAACTCACTTAGGTCAAAATTTGAGCTTCCTAAGTCGTGATATTCAGGTCGCATAGGGTAAAACAAGATCAAATTCCAGGTTGGTCTCCAAAGTGCCCCCAAGAACCTAGGCAACTGTTTCTAACCAAAAGGTCAAAAGCCCATTTGATGTCAGTGACCTTGTTTGACCTTTTGAAGGTCATGGTGACTAAAATGATGCAACAGTGCTCTGAGCTTTGCATTTGAATAAGTGACAAAGTTTACGCCAGGCAGTATGTTCCCAAAACAAAATGTCGGCCCGGGTCAGCTTAGGTCAATAACCTGTTCAGACCTCTAAGAAGTCAATAGAAGATGAATAATGCGGTTACTGCTGTCAATAAATTCGAAATGAGTGCCAGAAGCCATTCCCCTACAGCAAGCCCTAGAGTAATAAATCAGGTTGGTTTTGACCCTGGTCTGACCTTCATATCTGACCTTAGGTCAACGCAATATGCTCATTCAATATTTGTGGTGTCTAAGAAAGCATCTCAGAGATGTATGACTTCGTCAAACACTCCGTTGTTGCATCAGATTGAACGATTCCCTAGAAATTGCCTTCGCTGAAACCATGGCCTGACTTTGACCTGCGATAGGTCAGCGACCTTACAAGGTACATAAAAAATTATGTCAAACGATCCGCTATTCCATTGTCTATAGCTATGCAAAATTTGGCGCGGCTACGCCGCGCCGTTCGAGGAGAGGAAACAATTCTGGAAAATTGTTTCGGGGGGGGGGTCAATTTGACCTCCCCACCCGAGCTCGTGTTTGCAAAGTGGCCGTTAGTGGCTCGGCACCGGCGAGACATTGCGACTTCCTGCAGGCGCAGTCGGGCAGTAAAAAAATCCCTTACGGCGAAGGTCGCCTGGGAACTCTCCCATGCCGTGTGGCGAAACTGTCCGGCACGTCGAAGCGCCGACCGCCACGCCCGTGTGAGCAAGCCGCAGGGGACGAAGAGGCAGGGCCACGCCCCTGTGCGGTCGACGGAGGACGGGAGATGGGGGGTCGGCTGAGGGGACGGTGAGGCGGGGCCACGCCCCTGTGCGGTCGACGGAGGACGGGAGATGAGGGGTCGGCTGAGGGGACAGAGAGGCAGGGCCACGCCCCTGTGCGGTCGACGGAGGACGGGAGATGAGGGGTCGGCTGAGGGGACGGAGAGGCAGGGCCACGCCCCTGTGCGGTCGACGGAGGACGGGAGATGAGGGGACGGTGAGGCGGAGCCACGCCCCTGTACGGTCGACGGAGGGCGGGAGATGCGGGGTCGGCTGAAGGGGGTGGAGAGGCGGGTCGGCTGGGGCACGAAGAGGCGTCAGCTGAGGAAGGAAGAGAGGTGGGGTGGGCGATTGAGGGGACGGAGAGCGGGGCCGTCTGAGGGAACGAAGAGGCAAAGTCGCCAGCTGAGGGAGACGGATTGGCGAGGTCGGGTGACGAGGACGGAGAAGCGTGACTGGTTGAGGGGGACGGAGAGGCGGGGCTGGCTGAGGGGGACAGGATGCGGGGCTGGCTGAGGAGGACGGAGAGGCGGGCTGGCTGAGGGGGACGGAGAGGCGGGATTGGCTGAGGGGACGGAAAGGCGTGGCTAGGTGAAGGGGCGGAGAGGCGTGGCTGGCTAAGGGGGACGGAGAGGCGGGATTGGCTGAGGGGGACAGGAGGCGTGGCTGGCTAAGGGGGACGGAGAGGCGGGGCTGGCGGTTGTCGCCGGTACTGCGCTACAATCTCAGCGAGCCTGATCAGTGATCACGGCCAAATGTCAAGCAGAACGTGCCGGACACGCGTACATCGACCGAGTAAATTGTACTTGCTGTGTTGTAGCTTTCCACCAATGTTCCCATTTTACGGGGAGTGGAGTTCTCCGTCTTTTTAAGCAATGAAATTCCTCATTTGATACGTACGTTATCTGATGGGGGGAAGCGTTACTGCACGCATCAAATTTCCTAATGTTAAAGTATTTTCGCGAACTTAAATACTTGCCTACAACTTCCCCTTTTTGCCTAGTCTTATAGAATGCTCGTGTAATTTGACCGACAGTATACATGTGATACCTCATTCCATACTCCGACAGCTGGTGTTTATCACATCAGGTCTCAGCATACCGTTCCGCTCCCATTCGCTTGATAGTCACAAGACTGCGCACGCCTTGCGTGCACCTCGTGATTTCCGTTCTCTGGCTGATTCAGCTCTGCATGGGAAGCCACTGAGTTCGCCGGATACCCGTCCACATCCATGGCATCCCAAGCGCAGTTTCCCGTCACCTGGCTATACGAGACACTACACCTGTACTTCAGAGTAATGAAGAACATTTTCTCAAACTGCCTGGGCGCCTGGACGCAAAGTTCGTCAGCTGATCAGTGCGGAGGCGCCTGATGACTGCCGTTTGTGACCGCATAACCGTCAATTTCACCTCAGTGATACGGCTGAGGGGCAAATGTCAGGGCTAATGAGGTCAACCAACTGTCGATGGCTGAAGGTCAGTACACCGGGGAGGATTGAAAGCTTCCGCGCCGGAACGGCAACAGTCGTTCGCACAATGCTCTCCCAACGAGCCCCACGCCAAATGCGGCCGTTAGGGCCGGACAGCACCGGTCTCAGCTGACAGCCTGATCCAGGGCATAGTTCCCGGTGGGACGTCGCGACTGTGACATGGTCGGGTCCGGCTGTGGGGGGCCACCTCTCGTCATGGCAGCGAGCCGTGTGCCAGAGGTGAGCGCGCGTGCTGCCCCGCCCTCGGTTTGGGCAGGACGCGCTTGTCCCGGGACAGCAGATCAGCTCTCATGCTGATCCTCGTGCCGACCCTCATGCCGACCCTCATGCTATCTTTATCCCAGGGGGCTTATTGTAGAGCATGGAACTGAGGCGGCAATGCAAATAGTGTGTTGCTGTTTACTATCCCATTGGTGTACACTTGATAAGGAAACAATGGTCCAAAGGCAACTGGCTGAAAGGCTCTCAGACGAGGACAAGTGGGAGCACATTCCTGCCATACTTACCACATCTAGGTACTTTGGTGACGAAACCGCATCTCGGTTACCGAAATTAATTGGCTTGAGCTCTTTTGGACACAGCGTGAAGGCCCTGGCAGTGTCGGGATAATGACAGCCCACAATATCCATCGCCGCCAACTGCCGCAAAGAAAACGGTCCACCGGGCCAGTCCTCGCTTGAGAGATTTCCTTTCGGGACGGCCCAGCCCGCTGGATACACTAAACACCCCGCAGGTGGTCAGCTGGCTGCCGAGCGTCCAGCACACGAAAATCACGAGCTGCCTTGACGACAATACGTGAGTGGAGCTTAGAACAAAGGGAATTAGGCGGTCAGGTAAAAATGTAACATCCTGGTTCACACCATTCTGCAGAGGCGTATTTAGTGCTCAGTGAGCATGGTAATGAATGGGTCATACTGGCGTGTCTCCCATGGTGACATGTCATGCACCTTCGCATTCTTCATTCATTCATTCATTTACAAAGTCACATTGTGTGCACGAAGTATCGTGCGCGTATTTGACGATCATGTGCATAGGGGCCATCCACGGCCGCTGCCATCTCACCTCAGTCAGCGCGTGCAGCTGGCCCTCGTGCACGCACGCGCCCATGAACCTGCAACAGAGCGGGACAGTGTCAGCCAATGGTCCGGGAGCGGCGTCAGGGCCGCAGCCTCCGCCGCCGCCTGCCGCTATCGGGAGGAAAGAGCAGCCTCTCGTTGCGCACACGTGCGGCCGGCAGAGCCGATAGCCAGCCGGCCACAGGCGCACCACGTCCGGCGTCCTGCAGCAGGCGGGCCGGGCCTCGCCCGGCCGCGCAGAGAGGAGGGGTTCCTGCACCCGTCAGGGTGAGGCTGCCCCTGTGCCCCTGTGTACAGGAGGTGGGCTGGGCCTCGCCCGGCCGTGCAGAGAGGAGGGGTTCCTGCACCCGTCAGGGTGAGGCTGCCCCTGTGCCCCTGTGTACAGGAGACGGGCCGGGCCTCGCCCGGCCGTGCAGAGAGGAGGGGTTCCTGCACCCGTCAGGGTGAGGCTGCCCCTGTGCCCCTGTGTACAGGAGACGGGCCGGGCCTCGCCCGGCCGTGCAGAGAGGAGGGGTTCCTGCACCCGTCAGGGTGAGGCTGCCCCTGTGCCCCTGTGTACAGGAGGTGGGCTGAGCCTCGCCCGGCCGCGCAGAGAGGAGGGGTTCCTGCACCCGTCAGGGTGAGGCTGCCCCTGTGCCCCTGTGTACAGGAGGTGGGCTGAGCCTCGCCCGGCCGCGCAGAGAGGAGGGTCCCCTGCACCCGTCGGGGTGAGGCTGCCCCTGTGCCCCTGTGTACAGGAGGGGCGGGCCTCGCCCGGCCGTGCAGAGAGGAGGGGTTCCTGCACCCGTCAGGGTGAGGCTCCCTGTGCCCCTGTGTACAGGAGGTGGGCTGGCCTCGCCCGGCCGTGCAGAGAGGAGGGGTTCCTGCACCCGTCAGGGTGAGGCTGCCCCTGTGCCCCTGTGTACAGGAGGTGGGCTGAGCCTCGCCCGGCCGCGCAGTGAGGAGGGGTTCCTGCACCCGTCAGGGTGAGGCTGCCCCTGT